AGTTCATCGGCCCAACCACAGGAGGATTGATGGAAGGAAGATTAGTTGGTCGAGGGCGACACTCGAGTGGAATCTCATCACTCTCATCATCCTGGCATTAAGATGGTTAGCAATGTTGAATTTATTGAAAGAAGAAAATTACCAACCACATAATTATACCTCTTCCAGGATGATTGCCGACTATTTTAGATTTTTGGAGGAAGTTTTCTTCACCGATGGAGCCATATCCTCCAAGATAGGGGCAACGACCAGCTCCGGAGCTGCCGCTTCCTCGATTGGCAGAGCAGTGGCTGGTTCGGCCGGCTCCGGAGCTGCCGTTTCTTCAACCAGCGGGGCAACTGCTGGTTCGATCATGACTAGAGGGACGGGTCAAGCTTCGGGTACCTGGCCAGTCGGAGCTGGTTGCACGACCGTTGAAGTGCGTACAGCAGGAACAAAATAAGAAGCATTAGGAGTGTTCGTTCTTGTCGACTGGCTAGAGATGACATGGATTTCCCGTTTCACTTTCTTTTCCAATTTCTTGACGTGTTTTGAAGGATGAGGGGCTGAACCTGCCGTTTCAGTCTCTTGGTGAGTTCATTTGCTTGTCTTGGAAAAAAGAATCATTTTTTTCTTGATCACGGCTGAAGCCACCGCTTCTACCCTTTTCGACGCTCGACTGCCTGCGAAAGTGAAACCAAGTCGATAAAAATTCAAATGACGTTTTACAGAGAGAAGGTAAAGGTAGCCATATACCTTGAGTCATCTCTGGGAAGCAGTAGCCCGATTCAGTCAGTCACCGCAATCCCTGAAGATCTTGTTGATGACCTCTTCGACCGAAGCGCTAAAAACGTTCTGGGTATACTCTTCCCACCAATCACCAAAAGTGTCAGTACTGACGATTTCTAGAATAGTTGGTCGAAGGCAAAACTTTTGGCATCGTTCCTGAAACTCCTTCTTGGCGTTTGTGCATTCTCTCTCTGAAGAACTAGATAGGCGTCCTCGGCTTAAGAGAGAACGAGAGGATAGAAGAGGTACCGGGCAACCCTGGAGGTAGCCGAGCTGTCGAGCGGTGAAGTGGGGGTGGTATACTCCCAACTTGATCGGTGAGCATCGCAGCCGAGAGGAAGGTTGCGGGTAAGCACGAACGATCCCTAGGATTGACGGAGATCAGCATCTTCGTCTACATTCCATGTAGATGTGGGGAGGTTGATTGACGAAAGATATTCTCGACGACGGCAGATCAAGAACTCGTCATTGAAAAGAACGTCGAGGCTGAAGAAGTATATGAACACTTCTTCAGCCTGGTGAGGAGATATTGGTCGATAGGCCAGCTGAAGATCGAGGGTTTCAATGGGCGAGAAATTGGCAATCTCTGGCCGAAGGAGGGCAAAGTAGACCTGCAACCAGAGTTGGAAGACCCAGAGGGGGCCGTTTTGGTGTGGGTCGATCTTGTGGAGGGTCATCTCGGCCAGGCAGCTCAAGAGATTAGCAAGAATGGCCGAGCTAAGCGCCAGGGTATGACTGCTAGCCAGGGTTTCGACTACCGCCATGTTTTCGACCAAACATTTATTGGACTTGGTACAACAAATAAATTTATTGTACCAATAGAAAAGGAAGGTTTCATGTTCTCCCTCTTATAGGTTTTCCTCTCCTCGGCCGGCGAAGTGAAGATAAAGGGTGTTGTAGTTGAAGAAGGTTTTTGTGTAGTTTCTGAACTTCTTCCTTTGAGGGTGTTTGACCTTCTCCGCTCCGCGTTTCGAGGGCCCGTTTATCAAAGAGTACCTTCAGGTCAAGATTCGACGGATACCTAGAGAGGGCGGCATCGACTGGTATGCCAAAAGAGGAAGTCCCCAAGATGGCGGTAACGTCAAGAATAGTAAAACTAATAGGGCCAAAAGGGAGGACCATGGTATTGGTGGCCGAGCAGCAGAAGCTTGAGGCCACTATAAGAAACTCTTTGTCCATGATAATTTCCATGGATGAAAGGCGAATGGCGTCGTAAATGCCAAGAGCCTTCCATTATTCGCCGAAGATCCTCTCCATTCGTGCAACCCAAGTTGCCTAAGTTGCAGTGGTTGAAGGCCAGGAACCTTGGGGTTTTGCTGAATCCCACTTCGACCATTCAAACCCTTGTAGTAAGGGTGTTATGCATTCATCCTTGAAAAGTCCGGTGATGGATGGTGGTACTGCATCTTTGAAAAGTGGACCAAGGATCTGGGGAGTGGTGCTCATATCACTTTCAAAGCGTATAGTCTTGATTGAGCATCAATCAATAATCTTCTCGCATTTGTTGCATTTCTTAGAGAGTTTGGAAACGAAGGAGGCCATTGGAGATAGTTTTGAAGGTTTTCTGAGTAGAGCTTGAGGGTTTCTGGTTTTCTCGAGTAAAAGAGGAATTTCAGAAGGATTTGAAGGCGTCAAGCACAAGGGAAAGAATTTTGGTATTTATAGACTTGTGGGAAGGAAGACTGATGATTTGAAATTCGAAATGAAGGGTAAAATTGACCGGAGAATTCCTTAATCATTACGAATATTCAAAAAATCCAGGTGAAATGACCGAGGATCTCGTGGTTTGAGGATGCACGATTGCATGTGGCGGCGGATTTAATGCATTGATGAGGAAAAGACGCTTCGATGGGCGTATGTTTTCGAGGGCCATGGTTAAAAGCTGCTGGGTTTATCAGAGAATCGACACGTGGCAGGACACAGGGACGATCAAAGATCGTGCAATCGCATTTCATAAATGCGCATAGTGATGATTATCGAGATGGTTAAGTCAAAATGGCAAAGGATGTTTTCGCTTTTTCAAGGTCGATACTCAATCGAGGATTAACGATTGACGACCTCAGAAGCGAGGGGGAAATGTTTAGGCCCAAAATAATATTATTGGGCCGAGTGTGGGTTTATGTTCGGCCTAAAGTTTTTCAATATACTATGGGCTGCCTGGTGGTCCCAAGTCATTCAGCAAGAATGGTCGAATCCTATCTCAAAAAGGAGTAGTTTGGGTAAGCGAAGGGGTCGAAGAAGTTCTGATACGATAAAGGGTCTTAGTGCAATTTGGATTCTCAACTAGCAATGAATATGGCCTCAAAAAGGGGGTGAGTTCAAAGTCCTAATAGGAGTAGGATTGGTCGAAGTAGAGTTGGAACAGGACAAGAAGTCCCAATCTAGGTATGATTTTGACTTGATCCCAAGGGGAACTTGGTGCTATAAATACAAGACATCATGCAACAATCAGGACCTCCAATTCAACACACAATTGCCATGCGCAACGCTTTCAAACAACTTGAGATTTTTCATTTTCTTTTTCCGCCAACACATCTTTAGTTTGGATAAACAGCACTGTCGCCATAGAATCAGCCGACCACGAGGCACCTTCAGTTTGGATAAACAGCACTGCGTCGAGGCCGACTGATTACCTATCCAAGTCTCGGTTGAGAAGGGTTTTCGAATCCTGCAGAGGTCATCTTATTAGCCTTCTCCGCGAAGCAAGGTGTTACGAGTTACGACATTCGGCGCATTGAACGCCAAGTGATTTTATGATTGGATACTCACAAGTGAGTTTTAGAGTTCGGCATTCTGATGGCCGAACCTTATTTACCATCAAGACATACATCACCTTTGAATATTTGTGTCCATATAGTCTGGTGTCGATTCGACGTGTTTATACTGTCACGAATATAATCATTGTGACCAAATCTGGCGCCGACGATTCGTGAACTTCGTAGAACCAGTAGTCTTGTCTTCAGGCTCGAGAATCCAAAAGCCGAGATTTGTTCCTTCCTCGGCTACAGTCGAAAGATAAAGAATTCAGCAACGCGCTCAACGCAACATCAGCAAATTTTACTCCTCGGCCGACGAGTTGGCACACCCCACATTTAACCGAATGACGTAGTTAGCTTATTAGTTACTCGGCCTGCGCGCCACGTAGGTTTTGTAATTTTTAGGGTCAATAATCTCTCACCCACTTAGGATTAGGAAACTGGAGACTCGACTAGGATTACGAAACATTTATATATTCGAAGAATGTAGTAATCTAATCTAAACAGGAAATGTGAAAAAAAAAAAAAAAAAAAAAAAAAAAAAAATCCGATTTGTAGGGGGAGAACGTTTAACCCTTGGTGATCTCTCACCCACTTCTTTAGGTTCAGAAGTCAACGGAATCTGATTTGATTTGTGGTGACGTTACGGCCGTTGGATCAGGGAGCCAGGTATGATCGGATTATAGGCAGATTGAAAGTCAAGCTTCTCCAACTACTAGGATCTAGGAAGACGAGGGATGACGGCGTACGTGTTGTTGTTGGAGTCTTTTGCTCACGTATTACAATCAGTGCAGGGAGACTCACTTAGAACCGGTTTATTGTTACTATGGCATCCGGTCTAATTATATACAAGGTAATAATTAAATTTCTCTTCAAATACATTGCATCATTGAATAAAAGACGTCATCTGATGGTGAACTTGTTCTATTTAAGTTACTCTTTTATTACTAGAGGGGAGAAATTATATTCATCACCCACGTGAGGCTAATGTAGCCTCTTACCCTTCTTACATTGAACCCTACTTATATTTACAAACAGTGCTTTCGGTGTGGCACGCTCTAATCAACTTGTACCTTAAACTTTTGTGTACTTAAAAACTGTTTCTTAATTTTCAATATTCAATGAAAAATGCCAACACTCTATCTAAACGGAGAGTGAATAAACCACAATTTCAATTTTATTATGTACACTTAAATTATGCACCAAAGGCGAGTTTGATTTCATCCTTTCCCTAGTATCATTTGTATAGGTTTTTTTTTTTATGAACAAACAACATTATCTAAACTATGAAGAGTGAGCTTATCTTTACAATAGATTAGCAATAATAAGGTTTAAATTCATTTTTAACGAAAATATAACCTAAAATATCTTGCTTACAAGTAAAAATGACCACTAAACTGCGCAAATAAGAAAAATCCTAATTAAAAGTTTAGGCCGAAAGAAGTAGCATAAAGTCGAATTTATGTTGTTGGATCCACTGTGAAGTAATTGAGGCCCGGGTTCTTAACCGACCCGTTAGATCGCCTTTGATGGCCGAAGCCTGTAGAGAAGTTGCAGAAGCTTGAGCAACTGAGAGCGAGAATAAAATTAAAAAAAAAATGGGGGGTGGTAGTAGAGGGAGCAAGAAAATACTGGTGGGTTTGGTGCTGGTCATGTTTCTAGGAATCGCCGTCTACTTGCGGCTCTGGACCATCGACTACTCCATTTCTTCCGATGAATCCGAGCTCCTCAGGTTTGCTGTTTGCTTCCCATCTCATCTTTTTCTACTGCAAATCTCAAATTTGTTCTCAAGGGTTCATAGTTTTGCGGATTCCATGAATGATGGAATGATTGAATGAATGAATGAATGAATGAATGAATGAATGAATTCCCATTAGATATACCTCGATTAAATTAAGCCCAAGTTCTTAGATTTTATTTTCCATTAGTGATTGATGAGAAATTCCAACTTTGTGTTTTGGCTCATATGGTTCATACTCGGTCTTATTGTTATATGATCTCACATGTACACTTTAATTTTCAGAGCTTCATATGGCAGGAATGTTAATATGTTTCCATGGAATGAACTGGGTTTATTTTTATTTCTATGGGATTTTGGGGTTTAGTTGTATGTGGGAGTTTACTTGTTATTTCTGTTTCTAATTTTGTTTTAGAGAGTTTGTTTATATGCTCTTTCTATCGAAATCTTGTAGGCGGCAGTTTGACCTTGCGAATAGGGAAGCAATGGATGAATCTGCTGAGTGGAGGCTGAAATACGATGAAGAAGCCGAAAAGGCTACCAAGTGTATGAATCAACTCAAACAGGTTCGCGTCATATTCTTCCTTTCTTTAAATTTATTTGCATAACTCTTTCAACAATTAGAGTTTTCATTTGTGTGTTTAATGCTGGTATTGATTGTACGTTGTCATTGTTATACACTAATCTGATTGGAGTTAATATAAACTCATTGTTGTGGGAAATTAGTTTTCGTATTATTTTTGGAGAGTGTGATTGCACGCTTAGAATAGTAAGGATTGTCAAAGCAAGATTAGTCTTTGAAAATGATCTCTGCATCGAAAGATAATTAAAACCACTTTGGAAAAACTAAACTATGGGTGCTATCACTCTATTTCCCTATATTCCTGTCAAAGTGGGTTTGGGTTCAATCTTTGGAAGGGCATCCTTGAGTTAAATGACTTTTTTATAAAATGATCAGTCTAACGACATAATCTTGGGATGTAACTAAGAAGTTTATGTGCCTGTCATGATCATCCCTCTGCAGATCAATTAATTGTTTGTCTTCCTTACAGATAACGGGATCATTTGGGGAGGGTGATGGAAATGCCGCTACTGTCAACCAGAAATTGTGGAAACTACAAAAGGTGACCCCTTTCTTTTCAGTAAAAGACTTGTACAAAAGTTCTTGTAATGTTTCATAACTTCATTCTTTTTCCACTCAAACGTTTATCTTCTTTCAATGTCATCTACTTTTATGCACCCTTTAGTAAACCATGTTAAGGAGCTCATTAGAAACCATGCTGAGGATGGCTTGCTCGTATTATTAAATACCGATTGTTAGAAATCAAATATGATCTGAACCCAAATAATGTGTATAAACTGCGGATTTTGACGTTACATCAAAGTTTTGTCTCTCTCTTTTCCCTTATCAGTTCAGATGGACAATGATGTGCTGGTGTAGTGTGTTTGAAAGTTCCCTTAGGTTTGAATCCTTCCTTTTCTTAAAAGTCCTGAAAATATTTCCCAGGAAAATATGGCCTTAGTCGAACGGATGAAAGCCTTGAAACAGGAGCTTGAGGCTGAGAAGCTGAAGTGCAGCGTTCAATAGGTTATTATATCATCAAGGGTCAAATGATTCAAAATAATCAAAGTCACCGCATTTTTCATTTTGTCCAATTCATGTACTCTCGGTCTCAACACACCCCTTAAGCACACCGGTTGGAAAGTTTTTAGCTTCAGTGGTTGCTTAAACCATCAAACACATATTTTTGGACGAGATGCGTGTGCCCCCTTACAGATCTTAATCCATGCTGCTTTCCGGGAAACTGAGGTATTCGGGTAATGACTGCGTTTCTTCTACTAAATATACAATGATTTTTCCAGTTTGCACCTTACTTATCTTCATGCTCAGGAACCATTGTAAATTGTTCAACCTCAAATGTACCATTTTCCTTTCCTCGTAAAATTCCTTCTTGTTATAGATCCCATGGTTTTTCAGAGCCTGTAATTCATTTGATTGAAAGCGTGAAATATCAGATGTCCGATTGTCTTTGTTCGTATGGCTTTTTATTTCAAATTTCTGTTATTGTTATATACTAATAGTAATTTTCCCCTTTCTTTTTGTTGGTAAAGAGAATAAAAACTGGATAAAGAGTTTGTGTGGACAGGCATTACATGATTACCATGCTGACCTATCTAGTCAAGCATTCACGCAACAGTAATTAGCCACTAAATACAATTACTACTTAAGATGATCGTACCCCTCCTGCAATCTTTCCCTACAGGAAGAGAACTAGTTTCGATCTCCGGGGGTTGTGGAGCCGTCGGGTTCTGCAGGGTTAGTTCTCAGGTCATGGAGAAATCTTGTAATTGTCCGCAGAAACACTTCATTGTCCTCCTGTTGACTTTCTGGGGCAGGAGCAGTTGTAGAATCTTTCATGTATAAATGCAAAGAGAAACAAGAATTTAATTGCATTGCATATTTAGCATGCACATAATTAAGTAAGATTTAAACAATGAACTAATCGAAATTAGCTAATAAGTGATCTTGCTGGAGAGACCTTTCGTCGCTTAGACAGTCTGCTTCTGGTGTCCATCATCTGAATCAGTTCATCAAACCGAAAAACAGAGATTAAACCGAGTATTAAGGATGCTCGAAGCGGTAATTATCTGGCTAATACCGATTTACGAAGAAGGTTAAATATAGATTAGGGATTTAAGATGCGTTGCATACTCTTACCTGTTTTACTATTTTTCCATTAAGTCCTTGCACAATGAGATAGCCTTCTTTCCTCCTCAGCTTCCTTATTAGACATAGTGCTCCAACCCTCAAGCTCTCAAACCCTTACCTCTCTTTGGGACAAATTGTTCAAGAAAACAGCAAGGGTTGATACCTATATATAGCAATGGTCAAGGTGCTCAAAGAGCATGCTAGTCGTGGTTTCTCAAACCTTACACCGCCGTTACCAACTGTCATGATTATTGCTCTATGCCGTTATATTGCTTGCCATTTCTTCTCTCTTACACTTAAAACACTATTCTCGTGTTAATCACACGCACAAATGGAGATATAGTCTAACATAAGAGTTAAACGCTTACCAAAAAGAAGATATGAATCGTAGAAAAATGCACTCCATTACCGATTATAATTATATTCCTTAAACAACTCAATGTACGATGTTCTTATTCATCAACCGTTGTCCATGAAATTTTTTCATTGCACAACTTGCCGTACGGTGTCGAAATCTAATATATATGTTTGGGCTTAATTTACTTCTTTTAAGAATAATTGAGGAGATGGAAGCATAATTATTTGGTCACTTACCTAAAAAATGCTTCCATAAACCGTGAAAAATTGGTTTCAACGTGGAATTCATGGATTGTAATTACTTTATCCCCTTGAAGAAAAAGCTACTGATTGTCTTTTGCCAATCGACTGGTCTTTCTTTCATACCTATTGCATTTCAAACCACAATTCCTTGAGCAAAGACCAACCCTTTTGTCATTTTTTAACACTAATCATAGATGCTTTACGGATTACATGATTATCCGCATCAAAACTCTTCCTAAAGTAGTTCTAAAGAAATTTTCATGCAAAGGAGATTATCCATTATCTGTGAGAAAAAGCAGAGGAAAGGACAAAAAGGGGTATATCCGCGTCGCGGATAAGTTATTTTAGTTCTAGAGTTTAGCGTCAGCGTTTATGATAATAACACAGCAACTATGAAATCAGTAACTATGGCACTTGAAGAAAGTAACATGAATGGCTATATCCTTTCATCTGCTATTTCTCACAAATAACGTATATCCTTGTTGTATGAACGTTTCTTTGGAACTACTTTAGTGAGAGTTTGATGCAGATAATTATGTATTCAGTTAAATCAATTAAAGCGTTTATCATAATATTAAAAAATGAAAAGTAGTTTTTTTTTTCATGGAATTGAGGGTTGAAATGTAATAGGTGTGAAAGAAGACAAGTCGATTGGCAAAATGCAACTATTCGCTTTTGTTTCAAAAGGATAAAGTAATCATAGCTCATGAATTCCATGTTAAAACCAATTTCCATTGTTTATGAAAGCATTTTTTAGGTTAATAGAGTACATGAAGCCCATACATATATATTTGATTTCTACACCGTGAGAATTAAGTTGTGCAATGAAAAAATGGTTGACAAATAATAAAGACGCACGTTAAGTCCAAAATATATAATTGTAACCGGCAACGAAGTGCATTTTTCTAAGAACATCTATATCGTTTTTTATTTTTTATTTTTTTTATTTGTAAGTGCTTAACTCTTATGCTAGCCTATATCTCCATTTTTAGGTGTGATTAACACAAGATTAACATTTGAAAATGGAAGAGAAAAGAAACGGCAGACCAAATAACGGTATATATCTTCACCCTTTTTGAGAATGGCGGCATCGAACAATAGTAAAGAGAGTTGATAACGGCCGTAGAAGATTTATGAAACCATGACTAACTGACCGAGAGTCCCTCAAATACTTCAAAAGCACTCGAAAGATCTTGATAATTCACACTAGGGATGTCATATTCCTTTTCTGGAACGAGAAGAACACAATATGTCTACAGGGATAAAAGCGAGGGTGTAATCTAACTACTTATAAGCTCATATAATATAAGATTCATTCTCAAACAGTTTGCATTCTTTCTCTAAGTTTGCCACTGATGAGTCCATATTATACCATATATTTTACCCTATTCTTAGTATTAATTTATTGGTTATACAGGTAGAATTTTGATACTTTAAATTATATTTCTAATGTAGGACATTCGACTTTCTCTTGAGCATAAAGTAATCAAATGGACGAATTTTGGAGTGATTCCATTTGGAGGATGTTCATGAGTCTTTCAAGATGATTTTGTCAAAGTTTCAGATTTTTCTACCTAGCCGTTTGACCATGGCAAAGAAATAAATGCCCAGCACGCAACTTTCCCAGATTAACGTTTTTAGACATTTTGGGTCTTTTGGAGGTCAAGATGGAATATTTTGAGGAACATTCTTCTGAGGATTTGTAGGGACATCTCCAGCTTTCAATGGAGACCTTGAATGTGTTGGTTAAAAGTTTGATTTTCTAAGAAGTTCGAATTTCAGTTCAAATAGGAAACCTTTTATTTTATTTTTATTATGTTTCCTAGATTTATTCTAAGACCTTTTAGGGTTTTAATTTGGGAGTAGTATAAATAAAGATATTTAGCCATTAGGGTTTGAGAGAAAGAGAGGGGGAAAACACATGCACTACTTTGGAAGATTCAAGTTTATTTCAAGATGTTTTCTATCCATATTTTTAATAATATTTTGTTTTATGATTGTTAGTAACTAATTTTCGTTTGCTAGGACGAGGCATGAGCCTTAGCAAGAATATGTAGTTTCTTTTCAATTTACTTATGATATTATGCATGCAAGTTTTAAATTATTAATCACTGTTTTAAACTATCTAAGTGTCTTAGTGATTCGCGACCATTAGGATATTTAGAAAAGTAATTTGATGCAATTTTGGTCTGAAGGTTCCCTGAAATTAGTGCTAGCTTCTTGTGGATAATAATTGTAATTTCACTTAGGATGAACACCACGTCTTAAGGGTTGCATGATTTTTCAAATGATTTTCATAAAGCATAATGAGTCTTTCATGTTCATATTTGATCCGAAGGTCCAGACGAGTTGCATGTTAGATATACGTTATATGTTGGAGGTTCCAAGTAGGATATATATTAGGAAAGCGTAACCTTCAAAATATGCATGGGTAATTCATAAATAATTGAAAGAACTACGTAGGATTTTTAAGGTGAAGGATGAGTGTCACAACCCGTCCCGGAATTTTAATTCTGAGGACGTGAAGTTATGAAAATGCCCTTAAACGGGACTAAGGGGCGTAAAATATGTTATAACTTGATGATTTGGGGATTGGGTAGGATCCCACATCCCTCAAATCCCTCCCCCATTTTTGCATCTTGTCTCTCTCTCTCTCCTCCCTCACAAATCTCTCATTCTCTGTCAGTTCTCCCTCTCTCCTTCGAACTCACACAGACCACCCACAAAACCACCCTAAAACTATACCAACGAAGGATCTAAGACCACCATCGTACCCCTGAGGACCACACGAACACGATGGTACCAATTTCAGGTGAGTTTCACTTCGGAAAACATGGATTTCGATTTCACTGTGCGTGTGCACTGTTCATGCACACGTAAAACTTAATGTTTTTGGGATTTTGAAGCTTGTAGGAAGCTTGGTGAGGTCCTAAGGAAGCTCGGAGTGCTTCGTTGGACAAATTTGGACGTCGAGAAAGCTTAGTTCAAGTTTGGCCGAAGCTTTCGAGACTTTTTCCGGCGAATCCACGCCGAGTTAGGGGTCATGGTAGGTATGGATGTGTTCGTCTCGTCAATACCTTCATTTTGATATAAAGCACGTCGAAAATGGTTAAGAAATGAAGAAGTTATGACACTTTGAAGTTTACCCAGAAATTCCGGCAAAACACCCACCTCCGGCGAAACCAGTCCGGCGACGCGAGGAAGAAGATGCGCGCGTGGGCAGCGCGTACACTGGGCGCGTGAGGGCGCGTGGGACCTCCAAATTGAGTTCTGAAAATTGTCACGCGTTCGTGACGTCGTGTAGATCACCGTGGTATATTCACACAACCAAATCGAGCAACGTATGAGAAAGTTATTGACGATTGTTTGGTGTATGTGCGTTAAATAACGTCAAGTTGGTTACTTTTTGTATAGGTGAAAATTATACAAAAGAAGAATGTAACCAATCTAGGGGAGGCTCAGGGACCTTCGAGACGTCGATGTGATCTGTGAGTGGGCAGTTTTGTTTTTCGTATATATATATGTATGCTTGACGTATTTCCCAGAAAACGTATTTTAAAAGAAATACGAATTAAATATCCTGTCATACATGCATCATACTTTAATATGTGCATTACCATAATTATGCATACTGTTGCATGGTGCTGAGGAGGCCCAGGTAAGATACATTCGATATACGTATGAAATACATTTGATATACGTATGAAATACGTTTGGAATACGATTGAAATACTATGGAAATATGATGAATTATACGATTAAGATATGTTGGTGATATGATTGAGATATAATTGAAATATGATTGAGAAGTAGCTTGAGATGTTTAGAGAGCTCATAACCTGATCCCCGGTGTTAGTGCTCGCCCTGAGCAGGGCCAGTCCTTCACGTGATGTTCACCTCCCTGCACCTTATGCTCAGCTTGGATCCAAGCTAGGTGCATAGCCTGTCGTACATACCACATTTGGTAGTTCCGACTCGTAGGTGACGTGCGATTATTCGCCCAGTCTTCACGTGATCGTAGCACTAGAACGTATATATACGTAACACCCAGGCCTGTCGTACAGACCACATTAGGTGGTTCCGACTCGTGGGCAGGTTCAGTTGTTTAGTTATTGTGAATGAGATTTGAGCTCTATATGCAGCCGTACAGGTCACGTTAAGTGACTCTGGCTGCCAGATGTTATGCTGTTGTTGTGATGAGTTGATTATGAGCTATATATGCAGCCGAGGGCTGAGTTGATTAGAATGAAAGAGTATGAACTATGTTTATGGCCGAATGTTGAATTGATTATATGTTATTCCATCATATTCACATAGAGATGATGAGCATTCTGTTATGATACTTGGCATGACATACATTCATATTGTCTAGCATAATTTGAGATATATTACGTATATGAGTATATACTTTATTCTGGGAAAGTATACAAGTTTTACGGAGAGGGGTTACAAAGTTTTTGAGAAGTGTTTGGATCTGAAAAAGATTTGTTTTACTGACCCACTCAATTTTGGTTTTGCACCCCTCCAGGTTCAAGAATTGCAAAGGTGTGGTGACTACGAGGAATTTCAACGGTGTTCTGACAGAATGGACCAAATGAGGACTCACCTTCGGGTGGTTCATCTTAGAAGTTGTGTATTTTAAAGCTTCCGAACTGTGTAAATGGTTACGTCACTCTCACGTGACGGCCAGCATGCCCTCCTTCGGGACGGGGTGTGTCAATGAGGATTTTTTAAGGTGAAGGATGAACCCTAGGGCTTTTACAAATTGATTTTCTTTAAATTAGTTTTTAGTTGACTTATTTAATTGTTTTTAGTTTAAATTCGTTTTTATTATTTTAAATTCTAAAATCAATATTTTCCAAACTTTGTTTTAAATAAATAATTAAGAGTTGGTTTTAAACACAAATTATTCATTCAATCCTTGTGGAAAATGACGTTGCTTGAGCTATACTACGACAACTTTATACTCTTACAAGTATTTTTAAGTGTTTTTATCCCTACTTTTATAGGTGGAAAAAATTCCTTTAAGCTACAATTACCAATTGAGAGGGAAGTAGAATAATTTGGTCCATAACCTGAAAAATGCTTTCATAAACCATGTAAATTCGGCTTCAACATGTAATTCATGAATTAGATTACGTTATCAATTGAAACAAAAGCTAATGATTGTATTTTGCCAACTTGACTTCTATCACACCTGTTGCATTTCAACCCTTAATTCCATGAGAAAACGTGAAAATAAAAACACTACTCTTAATCCAGTTTCCAACACCAATCATAGAAGCTTTAGCTAATTACATAATTATCCGCACAACTTTTATATAAAAATTTGGGTAATGTTAGGGAGACTAAATTTGTAAACTAAATGACGTGTCACTAATAAGAATAAGTACGTTTATCAATATTTAAGTAATAAAACAATCATCAACTTCCATGTCCTTTAATTTGTAAAATTTTGTCTATAAATTTAGGAACTGGATCCTCTCCGGATCCCTTCCTCCTAATCCACTAAGTCTAGGGATCCGTGCTGTTGAAATTTGATCCAACGGCTACGAACATGTTCCTCTCAATTGGTTTGCAATTTGGTTTAAAAAATTTGGTCTCCATAGCATTACTCTAAATTCTAAATTTAGCCTCCCTAACATTACTATAAATATCTCTTCCTTTCTCAGACATCAAAAATGAGGAAAAGAAGCGGGAAGGAAGAAAAGAGGTGTATCCCATTGCATGCGAGTCATTTTCGTTCATCATGGAACGCACCAGGGGATCTCGATCTTGCCCGCAGATTTTCAAATGTTGCTTTCAGTGCTTATATAGAGCCCTAGGAAGTTTTAAAGCAAGTTTAAGGTAAATGGATCACATAGGCAACATTTTGTATCTCTCAGGCACTTGCTAGGCAATGAGTGAAAGAATTGTATGTTTTATGGACGTTTACAAACCATACAATTGTAAAACGCATTACAAGAAACCAACAATGCCGAAAAAACATTTAATAGTAAAAAAAAATATCCAAAATTTGTACACATCTTCATGTTAAAGGCTATTATCATCTCAATAATACTCTGCCAAAATATTTCTATGTACAAAATAAGGGCAATCCAACAATTAACCTGTAGAAGCACAATCATCGCTCTTTGGTTTGAATAAAAAGGCCTAAAAGCTTTCTGGTTTTTGGCAGAGATGTCTCCACACCAAAGAGGCCAAAAGTTGAGAACATAAGAAGGCTCTAATCACTGATGAATATTCTTCCCTATCAGTGTTTCACCGTGAAGCAAGCGACCAGAAGTTTAACGAAACGATGGTGACACGGCAAACCAGCTGATAAAAGCCATAGCTGTGGCAGTCTCATACCTTTTGCAATGGTTGAAACCACATTTGTTACGATCATTGGCAATGAGAATGGTAATTCCAGCAGAAGCTCACGCAGCAGCAGATGTAAGAGAAAATGTGATCGGTACGAAAAGAAACACCCGTATATCTGTAAGCTTGTGAATGGACAGTTTTAGGTCTGGAACGATGGGACTCAATGCACTCTGATGCAATAAATATACTTTTCTACTTCCAAACATTTACACAGGTACATATTCACAAAGCATTTCGTGAACAAATGAATGAAAAACAGATATATATCTATCCTGGAAATGAAGGCAGCGTCTCAAATGGCAAAAAAGGACACTAATTTTTTTGTGCATAATGATAGGAGCATATTTATGCTACTTAGTTATGTTGTTTCCTTGCATTTAGTGACTTAATTACTATTTATTTTAGTGTTTTAAGCTATTTTCGTATGTTTTTAGGTCCTAATGGCAAAAGGAGCAAGAAAGGGCATTTTGAAGCTAAATGGAGCAGTTTTGGGCATGGATTGGATAGCTTAACCATGGAGCAAAGAGGATGGACGAAATTGAAGTCAAGAAAGGGCTAGGAAAGGCTAAAAATCTGGAGAAAGGAGTGCAAATGCAAAGAAGATAAGGAAATAGCAAGAAATAAGGAACCTTATCCAACCTTACCTTATCCTATCCTAACCAACCTTATCTTTTCCTAACTCTAACATTATCCTATCTTATCCTATCCAAATCAGGTTGTGCCTTAAATATAGCTATTTAGGAGGGATTAGTTATGCATTTAAACACTTAAACTCAGATTCTAGAAGCATAAACCCTTTGTATGTCGCATATAGGCCATTCCTTGGAGGTTTAGGAGTTGTAATCCCTTTCCTACACCTATGCCATGAGTCCTTATCCATTTAGGTCCAGAAATTTGCCCTTTATCCCTTCTAGAAGTCTAAATTTTGCCAAAAAATACCTAGTTTCTAGAAGCCCTTAATTTCTGGCAAAAATTCCCTATCCCTTTCCCTTTTGGTTTCTACAAAGACTTAACCCTTTTCCCATTGGATTGTGCAATCCTTTTCCTTCAGAAATTGTGCATAAATTAGCCTATAAATACAACCCTATGTCGCACCATTCAATCCATCCATTCACTCATTCATACTTTCAGCCATCAAACACCACAATTCACCCTACACCACCCTAGTGCCGCAAGCAAGGAAGGAAGGAGAAGAAGACTTGTGCAATCTGCCATCCAAGGAGGGTTCGAAATCTGCCATTGGAGTGTGGAGCATTTCTAGGTGTATTCTATCTTAGTTTTAGTTCAATGTTTATATTAATTTGGTTTTCAATTATAATGAACATGTGGAACTAATTTCTTTTTAGTTAGAGGTGAATTTGAAGCCATGATTATATGTTTTATATGAATTGATTATATCCAGTTATTGTTTCTTAAGGCATGAATGTGATTTGCTTATCTAAGTTATTAAAACTTGTTTATGTATGTGGGTTGGTGGTCGACACTTAATTTGCATGCATGAATTTGATGCTAGAGTATATGGGGGTCTCACGTAATAGTTATTCACTTATATTCACAAGTAGTGGAGGTTGCTAGTCACAATCGTGTTAAGTAAATCCTTGGTATGAGTCTCATGCGTTTCATAGTGATGAATGCCTTGTCAATGCTTATGGTTTTCACAAAACTTAATGACTTTTGATATGTATCTTTATTATGCGTTTCATATAAAGGACTTGAGAAAGATAATTTGGTTGCGATGCGTATTCCATCTAATTCAATGAAATAAGGAAAATTTGATGGTTAGTTGTGCGATGCAACTAACTTGGGGTGTTGTCATTCATAGTCTCAAGGAATAATAACTAGAAATTGGTTTATATGCATATCATGAGTGGAGAAGGACCCTCTAACTAGCCTTTCACCCATTTAATTCACCTAATTTCGTTTTTACAAAGTGTTTTCTACAAAGTTTTTGTTTTAAGTTTTAAATTCATCAAAAAAAATCCCCCTTTCATTTAGTCTTGTTGTTTGAGTCAAAATCTGTTTTCTTTTAGTCTTTTGAGTCAAGTTGAGTCTTATTTTCATCAAAATCACTTGCTGGGTCTAGAATTGAGTCTTTTTGAGTGTTTGTTGCTGTTTTAAGTGTCTAAAGTTAGTTTAGAGTCTATAGAGTCTAGTTTAGTGTTTTTGAGTCTTATTTGTATTGATTAGCATCCCTAGTTAATCCCCGGTCTAGAACGATCCCTACTTACATATCTACTACAATTGTCACAAATAGGGTTTAATTTGTGTGTCAAGTTAATTTTCACATCAAATTTTGGCGCCGTTGCCGAGGATTAGTAAAATTGCTAATCCCTCTGTTTGTTTGTTTGTTTTTCTTTTGATATTTGATTTAGTTTTATTTCTTTGATTTTAGGTACTAGAGAAGCAAGACATGGCAATTGCTAATCTTCAAGCTCAAATAGCGAATCTTACTTGTCAGTTATCACAGTATGCTGAAGGGTTCACAATGCAAAGTGTCCCTACATTTGGTGCTTCTTATAGGCAAGAATATCAAGCAACTCAATGTGCACAAAGAGATTGGAGTGAACATTCAAACTCTATGTGGTAGGAATTTCAACAAGTTGAACACAAAGGATATTGGCAGCCATACGAGGAGTTATATTCAACGCCTATGCAGCCACCACAACCTCATATACAATATGCCCAACCAAACTCAGGTTCGTCAATAGATTATAATCAAATTCTTAATGAATTAATTTCTTTGGTGCAGGGCTCACAAAATCAAGTCAAGGAGGCTCAACAAGGAGAATATTGGCAGCCATATGAGGAGTTCTATACAACACCTATGCAGCCACCACAACATGCCCAAACAAATTCAGGTACTTCTTTGTATAATGATATGCTTATTAAGTTACTCACCAATTTGTCTTAGTGGCAAGAAAATAAAAACAAAGCAATGCAAAATCAAGACAAAAGGTTGGACGACTTGGAAAAGCAAATTGGGCAGATAGCAGAGTTCGTAGGACAATTTCGAGACCAATGCAAACTCCCTTGTTCAACCATTGCAAATCCAAAGGGAGGATTTGAAATTGCCAAGGAAATCATCTTGAGAAGTAGCAAGGAGGTTGGAACAGACCCTAAACCATCAAAATCAAATTACAAGGAAGATGAAAGATTGCAATTTGAGGAAAAGGAACACACCCAACCCACGGCAAGGGTGGAAACACCTTTGCCGCAGGCACCTATTGCTCCTACGCCATCCAATTCAGGTAAGGTTGTTCCAAATTTAATTATTTCTAACCCTGTTCCACCAAATGTCCTTATTCCTTGCAAGATCATGCAATCCAAGGATGAAGAGGGTGAGAAAGGCATCTTCGAATCCTTTCCAAAGAATCAAGAGCAAGAAGTGGCTGGGGAATGTCTAGAATTCATTAAAGAGGATATACTTTAGACAACA